GATGTTGTAAGAGGACTGTAGATTTCTAAGTAAACGCATCAGAAAATCATTTATTTCATCTCTTTTAATGGTCAACGGACCAAATGCAACAAGTATGAAGTATCGACTGGGAATTGAAGCATTTGACTCTATTGCTATTTTGAATTTCAAAAGTCAAGTTCTTGGGGTTCTCGTTCTCAAACATATACTTGAGCAGCCAGAAAGGCAGTCTCTTTGGTTAAACAATAGGAGACGGAGGAAATCTAAAATTTAAAGTTTATGAGTTCCTACTAATGTTACAACAGTAATAAGGTTTACTGTCAAATATTTATAGAAAATCAGTTAATTTTTTAATATATATATATACAGAATTTGAGCAAAAATTATTAGTTTACGTGAACCCTATAACCAACCCTCTAAGTCCACAACATGCCCTTTTAACACACCAGATGCTTTTTGCAGTTTCATATTCAAGATATCATCTGCTAATTTTTTTCTAGACTAACTTGTCAAAATATTTTTGTACTTAAACTTGATTTGGTTTTGACTAATCTTATTATCTTAGTATTATATTAAATATATGTTGCTGTTTGCTCCTCCATTTGTCCAAAAGTAGTACTTCTTCCGTTTCAATTTAAATGACACATTTTCTTTATTAGTCCATTCCAAAAATAATGTCATATTTCTATATTTGGAAATAATTTATATTTAAACCTTTTATTTTACTCATTTTATCCTTAATGAGAAGCTTTTATAGTCACACAAATATCATGGCCCCACAAAACTTTTGTCCCTTAAGATTTTAGAATTAACCACATATTTTAAAAGTTTTCTTTATTCTTAAACTTTATGTCAAGTCAAACTAAATCATTTAAATTGAAACGAATGGAATAGGAATGCTAGCTCCTCCCACCCTCAGTGGACAGGCGAAGGGATCAAAGGACATGAGGCCCAAGACGAGTATGATATTATTTTATTTTCCTTCTCATTCATCAATCAAAACTCAATATAATCAGGTACTAAAACGTGAAACACGCGATGCCATTCTAGCCTCGACATATGGAAGTGCTTGTGCCATATATATTGAAATTGTTCATGAGACGAGATAGCAAAAATAGGAGATTGACATATCGGAGTTTAGTGATCTTAGGAGTTTAATTGTTAGCGCACGAAATTTAAGTTCTCAACTTTAGTGTTGGTAAAAAAGATTATCATCTATCTTCTTGACTAAAGTCAAATTGTCATCAAATAGGGAAATGGAAATGTGGTTACTTACCTAACATAACATAAAAAAAGAACAAAAACACACAAGAAGATTGATATAAACTAGGTACATCATGTTACTGTACTGCCTGTGTTAATTTCAGTTCAATTTTATTTCAAGATTTGACACTTCCTCAGATCTCTTTGTTATGTCAAAACATTATTAGCTACATATCCCACTTCACATTATTTCAAGGGTCCATACCATACAATGATTCATTACTAGTACAATTATTTTCCTTTCTGGTTAGTACATTGAGTCCTCTTTGAACAAATTATTGTGGAAAGAAGAAAATGGTTGTATGAGTTTGTCAAAGTTCAGCAGTGTGTAGCTGCCATTATTTATTGCGAAAATTGATAGGATATCCCATATGGTAAATTGGTAAGATAAAGAAACGGACAAGTTGAAGGTGGTGCAAACAGTAGAATTGAATAATTTTTACCCCCTAGTAAATTTTGTAAGGTAGCTATCAGAACCTTCAAAGAAATTTATAAAAAAAGTAAGAGATAAATATAACAAAGCCAACATGTTACTGTGTAAAACGCGTGAATACGTCCCAAAGAAACTTGAATTTAAATCCATAGAAAAGGGGAAGTTAGTCCAACATGCAAATTTGAATTTGCATTATTGTGATTTTAAGTTTGCTCTCTGAGAAGAAAAAAACAAACACAGATTCTTAATTTAGTTCCTTTTTTTCCTGCGCACCTGGTTACGTTTTATAATAGGCATTTAATAAACAATATAAGTTGGGAAACAATTGATCAGGAACGTGTTCTTATCAAATTCTTCTGCTTTCACATCCTAATTTAATCTCTAACGTGGGTTTAAGACATCATGTGAACCAACCAAAGAAAAAATCATTAAGATTGTAATGACTTTATGTTATTTAAATTGACAATAAAGTTGTCAAACTAAGAGCTTCTGTCATTTACTTTTGGAAGATACTTGTGAAGAAAGAGTTTGAACAATCAGCAAAGACTACAGAACTTTTTTTGCTATTTCCTCTTGTTTTATTTACTAACTAATTAAAGTTAATAATTAGGAAACTTAACAGTTTTAGAGCCTCTTAAATGTTCATATTTACAAAGCCAACCAAATGTACTACTAAAATTTCCTTCTACGCGGCATAGCCACACTATCCCGAGGGTGGTCAAGCGAACACCGTTTGCTAGAAAATGATATCATGTATATAGATCAAATATTACATTATATAGTTATATATTATTTTGAACATATATAATATAGTTGAGTGAGACAATCTAGTGGTCTAGAAAGTTCAAAATGACGTATTGTTTATGGGTTCAAATTCCTGTCTAATTAAATACTTGCTCATTTTATTTATCAAAACTAAAAGGAGACCATCATATATGTAAAAACAAACAACTAATCTTAAAAGTAGTTTTAAAATTTAAAGTTATTTCTAAAATAAATTTTATAATTTAAAAGTCAAATTCTACAAAAAAAAATTTCAAAAGTTTTCTACATACTATAAACCCTCTCAGACTCTTTTTTTCCTTTGGTTTTATGCTTACTATTATCAGTAAATTTTCTGTTATTTTCTTTTTTATGTTAGTTTTAATTTATAAAATTATAGTTTTATTACAAGTATTTTTATTTAGCTAAATCTAGCATAGTAGATTTAAAAAAATTGGTGCACCCATTCATCGATCTTTTTTTATTGATTTCTTTAAAGTTTGAACTCTCTTTGACAAAATTTCTGACTATGCCAATCGCATCATGCACCGCAGAACAGTTCTGCGATCGCATAGTGCACCGCAGAACCTCCTTCGGAGAAATTCCAAGACAGTATGTGTGACAAGAATGCGGCTCGCGACGGTACTAGAGACTTGACATCAAGCGAAAATGCTTCAAATGCTACATCTAATTAAAACAACCCAAGTTGTCCGTGCAATTATTTTGTACCAACAGGGAGCGTATGTCAAAATATCCTAGCCTTTAAACACAGCAGTACAAAAACATGGAGACTGAAAAAGAGTATATGAATGTACTCTTGTGAAATTCATGACAGAAGGGAAATTCGTACTCTTGTTAAATTCGTGACAAAATGAGGTTCTAAACATTAGAGCAGTAAATAAATATAAAGTCAAATCTCACTATAACAGTCTTGTTTGCTCCGAATATTTTTAGATGTTATGGCGAAATGCTATTATAGAGAACATATATTATAACATAACATAAAAATTGGTTCAGAAAAAACTTAACTTTTATAGAGAAGTATTGCTATATCGAAATATTGTTATAGAAATGTTTGATTGTAATTATTACGTGACAGAAGTTTATTAGAAGGGAGATTTAATTACTTATATTATAGTAATGAAAGTTGGGATGAAACATTAATGTTGCAAGAGAATAGGATACTGATAAACAATTGTACCACGTAAGTTGCTAATTAATTATGCGCCAAAACTTTGACAAAAATAGAGGAGAATCTATATCTTAGAGTTTAAGGAGGATATTAATGTTTAAATACAACTGGGCTAACAAAATAAGTTCCAACCAAACTTTCAATCCAGGTTCAGATATTAAATTGTTCATCAATGTGTACAGAATTGTCATACTTTTTGCTCTTTAGAATTTCTCCATCAATAAGATAGAGTTGATACTATTATTATTATCTATCTGTTAAGTTGTTCATAAAAGTCTACCAGATTGTCATACTTTTACTCTTCGGAAATTTTTCTAACTAGATCGGTAGAGTTGATGCTATATTTTATTTACCTATATGTTAAGTTGTTCACTGTAGTCTATCGGATTGACATGTTTTTTTAGGTAATTTTAACAAAGTGTTATTCGAATTTAGAACTTTAATTTCGATCAAACAACAAACAAGTTCCAAATGATCCCAAACTTGAAACAAAACTTTCAACTTCTAATACAAACAATCCCTAATCACTAATTTAGTTTAATAACACTAAATCAAAAAGATCAAGTTTGTCTTTTTCAATACTTTATAGGTCCAATAATGGAGTTTAGAGATTTTTAAATTAAATAGCCAAAATCTGTCTGAACTTAAAAGGTTAAACACAAACTATCAACATTCAAATGATTTTAACAATAAATCGATCATTAATTTTAATTTTTCACCATCAAACAAGAATTTCAAGCTTTAAAAATAAAATAAAAACTATAGTGTTGAAGTAAAAAAGGGAGACACTTTTCTAAGACCATCTAAAATGGCGACATTCCACCAAAACCACCATCCACTTTAGGGGTCACGCCGCTAATTTTTGGTGTAACAATTCTCATTTTAACAACATGGTCCTGAATAAATCTCTTAATTAGCTTAGGAAAATAAATTCAAGCCGAACTTTTAATTAGGCTCTAGTGTTTCTCATTATTCAAACACTATAGATGGTCCTGTGGAACATTTCCTCTTAAGACTCTTTCTACTCTTGGAACACTAGAATTAGAGGTAAAAAAAATTGATCTTCTATGGTTAAAAGCTAGATTAAGCTAAGATTAAAATAACACTCCACATTCCTCTAATTATACCCTTATTATTATTATTTTTTTACTGCACATTAAGATTTGACACATTAATCTTTTAAATTAGAAAGAACTGCAAGAAGTAAAATATGAATCACGAATAATTGGCAATTTTCCATGATGCCATTCTAAGAAAAAATATGACGAAAATGTTAAGATTTATGAAGTCAAAAGGACGGGTAAATAAGCGGATTTAGAAATGAATTAATTTTCTAAAAGAAGAGAAAAAGGGAAAAAAATAAAAAAGAGAGAACGGCAAAGGCAAGGCCTCATCTCAAACTGTGTTAACCTCTACAAAATAAAAGGCAATGAAAATTTTTGAGTCCTTAATTTGTTGCAAAACCAAACTCCAAGAAAAGAAGAAAATATCGAAGTAAGAAATTATATACTTATTAAATGAAATATTATTTTTGTTGTTTACCTTTTTTAATTGTAATAACTCCTTTTAACCATTAGAACATTAATTGAAAAGGTAGTTCAGGACTTGGGCTTGGGCTGAAAATTAAGTAGGCCGGTACTTGGGCTTCTAACAAAGAAAGACCTCAACGCTTGAGCTTCTAATGGAGAAACACAACGGGCAAGCTTGAGCAACGGCATCACATTCTGTACAAACACACAAATGGCGACATGGCAATAGCACCACTGAGGCGACTCGTTTCCCACACGCTTTACAACTCGGTCCTGTCGACTCAACGACTCGGTCCGGGTCAATGTACGCCGATTCAGCATCCTCCGGTTCGCCTCCGCCATTCCCGTCGTTTCTCTCGTTACACCCGCCGCCGCTCATCATTGCGTGTTGAAGCTGCGCCTGCAGCGTTGCCGCCGTCACTTCCTGTGCCCTCGCCCTTGCTTGCCACGCATGTGCCTCCGCGCTCAATTGCGCTGCACGCGCCTCTAGCTCCGCGTTTCGCCGCGCTGCTTTCTCCATCTCCGCTTCTTTTTCTCTTAGCCTTCGCGCCATTGACTCCTCTGCTGCTCCCATCAGTGCACGGTAGTGACGTTGCCTTTTCTCTGCTAACGTACGCCTCAATTGTTCTCCCTATTGAATATCAAAAACTAAATAAATAAATACGTCCTCTGCAATTGAGAATTACGGAAAACAAATTCAAAAGGCATGGTAAATTTTGAAAAGAAAAAGAAAAAATCTCTATTGTCTATTAGCTAGCTCACATTGCTTATTTCAAACTCGCATTAAAAAGAAACGAGTTTAAGGATCAGTATAAAATTAATCAATTTCTGATGAATTTTGAAGAGAGCCTCGGCGCAACCGGTAAAAGTTGCCTCCGTATGGATGTCACGAGTTCAATGTGCAAAAACAGCCACTTGCAATTCTGCACTGGACTCCACGCATAAAAGGATCATGCACAGAACCTTAGTGTATTGGACTGCCCTTGTGATAAATTATAGAATATATTTCGGTACGGGGCGAAATGTATTGTCAGAATTCATACTGTCTAACCGATATTAGGATTGAGCGGTAATTGTTGCTATTCTTTGTAAGGTAAAATTTTGAAGAAAAACAAATAGTACCTGAATTTGGAGGAAATGATCAATCTCATCGCGTTGCTGTTTGATATGAGTAGCTAAATCTTCTGTTAATATTGAATAGAAAGCTGATGATTGAGAGGATTGAGGAGAAAGAGAGTGATGGTGATGATGTTGGTGCTGTAATTGATGTTGTTGTTGCTGCTGCTGCTGTTGGTCTCCGAAAGCTAAACGGAGTCCGGTGGAGACAACATTTGGTGTCTGCTGCGAAGGGGGCGATGTATGAAGCTGAGTGAGGTCAATCAGTTGAGGTTGAGGCTGAGATTGCATTGACATCAATGGATTCATTGCTGCCGTTGTACTTGTAAGTTCTCTTCCTCTCTTTCTTGTATTTCCACCAACTATCATCGCAAAAATCACAACATATCTAGATATTTAGATTGAAATTTGTATGCTCAATTCAGGATTGAAGATAAAGAAGAAAACAAAGTAAAGTATCGAGCTTTTGACTGGTTTGGGATTGAAACACAGTGGTTGTTGTTATGTAAGTATGAAGTCTTTCCTACCTCCTGGATTGAATAGCATTTGTGTTTGATCAAGAAAAGATCCTCCTCCACTACCACCAGGTTGATGTTGCAATGAATAATCATTACCTAGTTGGCCTTTTCCTTCTTGCACATTTCTGCAAACAAGATTCAAAGAAAATTCCATTAGACTTCTTAGATAAGAAAAAGGGATACGATTTAGGGAGAAAGAGGAAGGGTGTTGAGTGCAGACCTGTTTAGAAAGAGAACATTTGATGGGTATTGAGCTTGAACAGCCATTTCTAGAAATGGGATATGATCAGAATTCAGAACAGAGAGTTAGATAGATTATATAGAGAGAAATGGGATTCTAAGTTGCAAGATGGTTATGAAGAAATAGTTGTGTGATTGGTGAGGGTTGTGTGATTATAAGGCTAACACATAAACAGCATGAATAGAGAAGAAGATGCCCTAAACAAAGGCGGATTCTTCAGTGACACCCTTCAACAAAATACCAAAGAAATGTAAAGAATGAGGACAAGTAAATGAAGGGGGAAAAGAAAGAAGCTTTTTGATTCCCTAGAGAGAGAGAGAGAGAGAGAGAGTGAGGTTAAAAGAGTGAATGAATCTTTTTACGTCTGAGAAGCCATTTCCAAGGACACCAACATGACCATTTCTGCCTGCTTCCTCACCTTTTTCCAACCTAAAAACTTTTTATCTTTATTTCCTTTCTTCTGTTTTTTTCCTCCTCAAAACTTGCCTTCTTTTGCTTGCTCCCTTAGCTTTGCTTCGTTGCTATGCTAAAATGCTTTTGAAAGCATATGAAAGAAAGAGAGAGAGAAGAAATAGAGAATCAGTCCAAGAAAGAGAGGGAGAGAGAATGAGGTAGCCCGTCTTATTCTGGTTCTTGGTTTCCTTTTGCTTTGTTCTTCTTTCCCTTGTTTCTCTTCCTCTTTTGCGTGGCTTTAGCTTTGGTTTGGCTCTTTCTTTGGAGAACTCTCGTGTTTCTTATCAACTCTTCCTCCCCTCTATTATTTATTATTCATTGAATTTTTCACTTGTATATTGGTATTATCCACACACCCCACATACGTAAAGTTTGTGTGTGTATATATATATTAAGTAAAGAGAAAGAGAAGGAGAATCAATAAGGGAGATGTGGGGATAGTCTTGGAGTTGGGGTTGATATTGTTGTTGGGCGTGCAGAAGGTCTCTGCCGTTACCGCTGCCGCTGGAATTGTTTGTATATGGCCCATGCTGCCCACCTATCCCTCATATGACTCCCTCTTCTTTTTTTCTTTTCTTTTTTTCTAAGACAATTTACTATTAATGTGAATAATTTGTGAAAGAAAATCGGGTCTAATTTTTTAATGTTTCTCTTTCTTTAAGTAAATGGGGGATTTGCAATTAACTAATTGTATTATATAGTCTATAATCTTGGTAAATGGAGCACTATTTAAAGCGAGAGACAAACCTGCCCCTGTATGCATAGAGAAAGGGATTGGTTTCTTGTTCTAATAATTAATTTCTGAGGTGGTCACAGAGGATCCATTGCCTAATGCAAGATGCCTATCTAGTTGTTAAGCCTAGGTCATTCTCATTGTGCAATAGTTTTCTTCCTTTTTTTTCTTATATTTTTTTTTTATTGATTTGCCTAGTGGGTCCTTAGAAAAATTATGATTCTGAAAATTAGATATTGCTCTGTTGAGGTTGTCCAAAGTTGTAAGTTTTTTTTTCTTTTTTTCTTTTGGCATCTCTGTTAAGTGGAACCGGATGGATGAGATGTACACACATCAAAATTATTTATTTTCCTTTTGAATTTCGAGTAATAAAAGAAAGAAAAAAGAAAAATGCTTTTGATAAAATATGTAGTAATATTGAATTTTACTTGGTTTTCAAGATTCAAACAGCTTAACTGCTAGTATTCATCACATTCCTTTTCTTACAAAATAAAGAAGATATCAGCATACTTCCGACCTAATTGCTATGTTTGTTGGCCGAGTTCGCTTCTTCTTCTCTCAAAGTTAATGTTATACCAAAATTTACTTCAAATGAATCTGTCAAATTCACTCACCTATCCCTTCCATTTTTCCTATTATTTAGCCTACGAGCAGGTGGAAAATAGAAACTTCAAGAACCTGAAACGCTTTTTAATGTAAAATAAAGTAGTCAATTGCAAGGAATCAGAGAAGATGGGGCTATGAATTTTACTTTTCTCCCTTTTATTTTGCATTGGAATCTTGACTGTAATTAACTAGCCAATTTTCCTCTTAATATAGTCATGTGGCAAAGCTGATTAGCTGAACACCCCATAATTACCTACGTATTGAAATGCATCATTTACGTTGATATTGAACAAACAAGTTGGTGACATTTGGAAAATCTTTTCATTTTTATGGTTGAGCAAAACGTAAGGTCTCCACCATACATCCTAATTAAATCTCTTCCATCTAGACAAATTAACATCTTTTTCTTTCAACCATAAAAGTCATATATATATTAGTCCATATAGTGCGCTTTCATTCTTGAATCATATGCCAGCCCATTCTACGATTCATATTGTCCTTTCCATCAATTAAGCCAAGCACCATTGATGAAAACAACAATTTAAAAGTATATAAATGAAAGTATTGAGTAAGGAAAAGCCCCAACTTACACGACTCTCACGAATTGTCAGACCCCATCAAACTAACATATTGAGGTGGGAGAAAAAGAAATGAGATAAACAATAATATTGACGTCCTCGTAATGCAAAACTCACTTGCATCAATCAAATTATATTTGAAGAAAAACTTGGAGGACAACACCATTTAAACATTCACATAAAACTATCACGCATTTGACCAAGAAAGCACCATAGTAATCTGAAATCAGATCAAGAGTTTACACTTCTTGATTTATTCTTTTGAATTTTTTGGCGGAATTTACTTTGTATTTATAATATGTATATATGTCATGTGTGTTAGTTGAATTGACTGGCAAATTACAATCGAAACCATATAGGACGATTGATATTGCATACGTGTTTTTATTTCCACTTTTAACTAAAGGCGAACAGCCGGCGCTACGAGCAAAGGAAAGCCCTTACTTATGAGTGGATTTATTTTAATGCTTATAGCTCTCTCAAGACACGTTTTCGACTTGTTCTACCTAAAAGAGAGACTGTAAATCTTTTTTTTTCTTGTTTGGCAAAAGAAGAAAGATGAGGAGGTTGAGTAGGTTTTGGTAATCTTTCCCAAAACCAAGAAGGATATTTTAACTTTAGTTAATGGTAATGGAGGTGTCAAAAAGAAAGAGAGAAGCCACCAGAAAATATGAAAGAGAGCGCATATAATGGCATCACGCAAATTTGTCTTTGTTTTTGGTCCCACGAGCCTTTTTAGTACTTAGTCTTCTCCTCCCTCTGGCTAGTATTACAGCACTGCACGGCAAATTTTTAATCAGATTTATACTTATCATCTTCCCTTGTATGTGTACTATGACAACCCTCTATACTCATTCACGCACCATTTGGTGATCATTTAGTTGATGTGCACAATTATATACCTTTCTCCCCATCCGACTCTTGTTTATTTTGTTTTTTCTTCTGTCTCTTTCTCATGACACTTTCTTATTCCAATTTTCTTCCTATTTCTTAAGTTTATTGTGTTTGTTCTTTTATCAACAAAAAAAAATATATTTTTATAAGAAATGAATTTAAAATTTTAAGTTTTTGGTTGCTACATCGATCTCAAATTAATATATGTAAATAATCGGATCAACGAATTTGATATCGAGCTAAATATTTTTATAAATATAATAAATTTTTTAATAAAAATACAGATTATAGTGAAGTTTTGATGATTAACAAAGTTTACTTAGAAAAAATGCTCTAAAAATTACGTCCTCAACATAGCTGCTTAAATCCTCTAAAACCCAGGTACTCAAGATTGATGATTTCACGTTCTTACAAGGTAATAACTTTATCACAAAGTTACTCAAGTCTGAGTTCGTTGGAAGAGGACTGCTAAACATGCTAAGGGTTATTTTCCAAGAAAATATGTTTGCATAAGTGATAGACAAGAGGCCCAAGAATTGTGGAGTCCTTGGAGCTGTAGGAGTCCTATCAAACGAGAAGCTGACTATACATAGGACTCCTAAAAGATCTCGGAGTCCAGGGAGGTTCAATACTATCTTTTTGGACTGTTGAGATCATCTTTTTGCACATCAACTAAAGAACTACATTTTCTATGTTAAAGTCGATTACTAGTGTCGGTGTTCTTCTTGAGTCAGTTTAATAAATGTATTTTAGAAATCGAGTTATAATCAAAGTGTCATATACAATGAGTGAGTTGGAGTGATTATTTGGTTTTGCAAGTTAGAGTAACTTGTAAGTCAAATAGTTGAAGTAGGAGAACTAGAGATTATTGAGTTACAGATTTGTAATCGATATATTTGGCTTATTATTTTAGTGAAGTTGAAGCTAAAATCATACGTGGTAGGTCATGATTTTTGCACATTTTGAGCCAGGTGATTTTTCACGTAAAAATAATTGTGTTTACTTTACTGTGTCTTTTTTCATACGCTTAAGGAGTAAGGTAAAGAACAAAGTTCTTTAGTAATCCATAAAGACACTCAAATTAACAATTGGTATTAGAGCAGGTTCTCTCACACACGATTAACACCTAGAGAGATTTTGAAAGCAAAATGAGTGCCCAACCTAGCATTAACAATGGACAGTCAACTAATAAACCACCCTTATTTAATAGAAAATATTATAGTTGGTGGAAAGCAAGAATTGAGGATTTCTTGACGGCTGAAGACTATGAACTATGGATCATAGTGAATCAAGGTCCACTAACTCCCACTAAGCAAAATGGGGAAAATGAAATTATTCCGAAAGACCCCTCTAAATTTGTAGCAGCATATTTCAGAATGATGGAAAAGAATGCAAAGGCCAAGAAGATCCTTATCTGAAGATTTGGTCCTGATGAGTACAACAGGATATCAGCTTGCTCTAATGCAAAGGAGATCTGTGATGCTCTTCAAACTGCTCATGAACGAACAAACCAAGTGAAGAAATCAAGGATTGAATTGCTTATAAGGAACTATGAGCACATCTCCATGAAGAAGTCTGAACCCATCCAGGTGATGATGACTAGGTTTACTATAATAACAAATAAACTGAAATCACTTGGAAAGGTATTTACTTCAGAATAATTGGTTAGCAAAGTTCTAAGGATTCTTCCAGCTTCATGGGAATCAAAAGTCACATCTATTCAGGAAGCAAAGGAGTTGGATAATAAGATCTCACTTCATGAGTTAGTTGGAAACTTAAAGACCCATGAGATGAGAAAGATATAAATGCACAAGAAAGAACCAAGGAGGGATAAGGCCTTGATTCTTAAGGCATCCGAAGAAGATGAATCTAATAGTAATGATCTTGACCTAGCAATGTTTGCTAAGTTCAAGAAGTTCATGAGAAATTCCAAAAATGCTTCTAAGAGAGACAACAGTGGCAAAAAAACTCAACCTTGATGAAGAAGGAAAAAATGTAGAATAAAAGGTGTATAAAGGAATGACTGGGTTACTATTGTATCTCGCAGCAAGCAGGCCTTATATTATATTTATTGTGGGATTGTGTGCAAGAATTCAGGCAAATCCCAAAGAATCTCATCTAAAGGTTATAAAGAGGATACTCAGATATCTTAAAGGGACTCTTAATATGTGTATGTGGTATCATAGAGGATATGTGTTTGTGGTATCTTAGAGGGTACAACTTTGATCTAGTTGGTTATGTTGATGTTGACTATGCAGGGTTTCATGTTGACAGCAAAAGTACTTCAGGAACAACACACTTTCTTGGTTATTGCCTGATGTCTTGGGAAATAAAGAAGTAGAACTCAGTGGCTTTGTCTATAGCTAAAGCAGATTATATGGAAGCAACATCTTGTTGTGCTTAGTTGTAGTGGATAAGACAACAACTAAGGGACTATAGTATTTTTATTGATTGTATTCCTATTTTGTATGATAACACTAGTGCCATAAACATTGCTAAAAATTTCTGCCAATACAAGAGAACCAAGCACATTGACATTAGACATCACTTTCTCAGAGACAATGTTGAAAAGAGGAATATCTCAATTAATTTCTGTAAAACTGAAGACCAAATTGCTGATATTTTTACTAAGGCTCTAAGTAGGGATCACTTTGAAACTAAGAAACTGGAACTGAGTCTAATTTATACTTCTAATTAGGTTGAACACCAATGATTGGCTAAAAAAATTTATAATTAAATGTAGATGGTCGAATATAATGTGTTTTATTCAGTCTCATGATTGTCTTAAGCACACACACTCGCCCAGAAAAGTCTAGCTGATAACTATGTCCTATGATACTAACTTATTATACTGAAGCTTTATTGCAGAAATGGGTAAGGAGTTGGTTCTTTGGTTCAGGTACGCACTATCTTGTCTTAAATCATTGGGACTTAATAACTGAAATTACTACTATACTCAAACTGTCTAGTCATGTTAGCATCACTCATATTTGTTATCAAGTCAGGGATTAAGGGGGAATCCTAGAGCAATTAGAGTCTAATTACTTCTAAAAGTCTAATAGTTAAAAATATGCATTATTAGAGTATCGTTAGAACTCAAATTCGGTTACTTTCTTTCTTCTAGTCAAATCAAGACTATCCTCCTTAAAAGCCCTCTTATACGCTTTCTCTCACACTTCACTGTTTCTCTCAAACTCTAAGCAAGAATCAAAGAAAAACTTCTCTCGTTCTTTTATCAATTTTATTCTCTCATCACCATGTCTAAATCAAGCCAAACTTCCTCTAAGGAAAAATCCTCATCCAAGACTGAAGCAAAACCCAAGAACATGAAGCCCAAACCTAAAAAAAGTGAAAAATCAACTAGTGAACCTCCACCCACACCAGTTCCCTCTCCACATATACCCTCTACTGTACCTGCACCATCATCCTTCGCTCTTGTTGCACCCGCTATTCCCACCTCTACTGGACCTTCATCTCCAAAATCACATTCCCATACACCTGTGTCTACTTCAAAATTCAACTATAAACCCACTAAGATCAAGGCTGCATCAAGAAAACCAGCTAAGAGTGACAAGGTGGTGATTCGTGCTACTACTAAGGAAGACACAATGAATAAGGAAGTTGTGGCTAAAGGGGAATCTACGTCGACTACTGATCAGGTAAAATTACCTACATCAAAGTTAGATGATCTAGTTTCTGCTATTTAAGTTGCACCCTTAGAAATTGTCCCACCCAGAAGTGACAAACCACGAGTGGAGGAAACTACTTTAGAAAGAGAAACTGCAACTTAGGAGAAAAGTGTGAACACCACAAATATCATACATATGATTAAGGGGGAAGATGAGAAAGAACGAATAGATAAAGAGCCTTTTAATTGTCTATCTTTCAACACTGAGGATGAGGGTGATGACGAAGGTGAGGAAGAAGGGGGAGAGATAGCTAGTCATAAAGAGCACCAGGCTCAGGATACGGCTCATAATAATGATGAAAAAAAGAGTGAGAAAGAGGAGGAATCTGGAGAAGAAAAGAAGAGTGAGAATGAAGATCAGTTTGGTGAACAAGTGAGAGATTCTGGAGAGAAAGAAAAAGATAGTGAGGAAGAAGGTGACTTTGAGAGTGAAGGTGAAGAAGAAGAAAATAGAAGTGAGAGTGAGGAAGAGAATGCAAGTGAGGAATCTGAAGGCTCTATGGCTATTAGGAACACTATCATAGAAAAATAAGTAGAGAGAAAATGACTAAAGAAACTGGGACTGTGTTAACTCCTTTTACTGGAGATGAGAAGGTTAGTAGCGGTGAGGATGATTTACCCCTGTCTGCTGCACGAAAGAAGAGCAAGAAAGCCCATGCGAAAGAAACAAAATCAGTTATCCCTGCAAGAAAATAAGTGGCCCTCCTGCTAGGACTCCTCTCACAAAGAGTAAAAGAAAGGATGTTGATGAGTAGATCATTTAGGAGTCCAGAGGTGCCACGAAGGTAAGAAAGCAAGCTCCTATTGTTGAACCTGTAGTTGAGTTGGGTGAAGAGGATGAGTCCGACTCTCCTCTTCAAACAAAGAAACCAACAGAGAAGAGGAAGGTTGTTAAACCCACCAGGACAGCTACCACATCTAAGAAGGCTAGTAAAGGAATGAAAAATAGGGTTATATCTGTTGTGGATGACAAGCTTACTGAATTCAAGAATCGAAAAGTGTTCAATGAAAAGATTCCTGCAAACACAGATGAGAAAGGTATGGCTGAGTTAGTTGAAAAACTTGAACTACAGGGATGGAAACATATTTTTGTAAAGGTATTTTCTCCTCTGTGTGTGGATGATATGGTGGAGTTTTATGCAAACTTCCAATTTGATAGCAAGGTGGTCAAAAGTTCAGTAAGGGGGTTTGAGATGGAGTTTGATGCTGAAGAGCTTGGGCTTGTATTGAACATTCCCTCCTTAGGATTTGATAACTATCTGAAGAAAAAGTGGCCAGCTATAGACAATAATATGGACACATGCATTGTGGTCACCAGGAAAGTTTCTTAGAAGTTTGAGTTGGATGCTCCCCATAAGGTGTACAAGACTGACATGACTCATTTTCACAAGCTGTTATTTCACTTTGTGAGCTCCTACATATTACAGACATCTGAGAGGAGGCATGAAGCCACCCTGCTTAACATGGTTGTGATGGACCTATTGGATACTGGCATAGCCATAAATCTCCCTAGTCGGATTATTTAGCATATGGCAATGGCTGCAGACACTTCCAAACCCAAGCATGCTATGCTTTATGGCTTCATGCTAACTGAGCCGTTTGACAAGCTCAATATTGCCTTGCCCGAGCTTAAGTTTGGAAATCGCAATAATGTTATAGATGTTATTATACTCAAGCAGTGTGGATATGAGGAGATCAAGACTAGAGGACTAACAAGTTCTGCTATTTTACCTGGTAGCCGCAAGGCAGCTGAGCTCTCTAAAAGGTTGGAGCTGGCTCTTAAGGAGAATGCTAAGCTTAAGGAAGATAATGATGAGTTGAGAAAAGAGACGAGACAGCTTAGTGAAAATCTCAGAAGGGAGAGAGAGGCTCATGCCCAACATATTACCATCTTTGTGAAAGCCTTAAACCCTTCCTCCTCTCACCTTTGAACCTGGTCCTTCACCCCATGTCTTCAACTTGTTTTATCATCCTAGTGTCGCTTTATGTTATTTTTTTTCTAGTTTTGAGTATGTTGCAAGATGTTTCAGTTTATTTTGCTCTAATGTTTTTAGTCAAGGCCTTGGGCTTAATTTTGTGAATTCTCTTATGCTATTTTAATGCTTCACACATGGTTGTCTCATCAGCTTAGTTTATTTGTCTTGATTATTCTTGAGCTTGTGTTGTAGCCTAAATGGCCATGAATCATGCATTAACTATGCTTCGTCTGTCTAACATGTTTTTTTTTTCCGATGATGCCAAAAGGGAAAAGATAGAGTTATGGGTGTTTAGTATTGATGTAGCCTAGTTATGTGCTTGTTGTATACCTGTTGTACATGCTCTAGATCATCGTGTGGTTGTGATGTAAGGTAATTACCTAGTTTTATGACTACCTGATTTTATGTGCATAAAGTTTATCATCATCAAAAAGGGAGAATTTGTTGAGTATTGAGGTTTTGATGATTAACAAAGTTTGCTTAGAGGAAATAATCTAAGAACCAGGTCCTCAACGTACTTAACTGCTCTAAAAACTAGGTCCTCAAGGTTGATGATTACAAGTTCTTACAAGGCAGCAACTTAATCACAAAGTTACGCAAGTCCGAGTTCGTTAGAAGAGGACTGCTAACATGATAAGGGTTGTTTTCTAAGAAGATATGCTTGCATAAGTGAGAAACAAGAGTCCCAAGAATTGTGGAGTCCTTGGAGCAGTAGGAATCCTATCAAACAAGAAGCTAACTACGCATAGGACTCCTAAAAGATCTCGGAGTCGAGGGAGGTTAATATCTTTTTGGAATGGTGAGATCATCCTTTTGCACATCAACTGAAGAACTACATTTTCTATGCTCAAGTCGATGTGTTGGTGTTCTTCTTGAGTCAGTTTAGTAAATGTGTTTTAGGAAATCGAGTTGTAATGAAAGTGTCATATACAATGAGTGAGTTGGAGTGACTGTTTGATTTTGCAAGTTAGAGTAACTTGTAAGTCAAATAGTTATACTAAGAGAACCGGAGAGTATTGAGTTACAGATTTGTAATTTATACATTTGGCTCATTGTTTTAGTGAAGTTGAAGCTAGCATCTTACGTGGTAGGTCGTGATTTTTGCACCTTTTGAGCCGGGTGATTTTTCACGTAAAAATTATTGTGTTTACTTTACTGTGTCTTTTTTCTTACGCTTAAGGAGTAAGGTAACGAACCAAGTTCTTTAGTAATCCATAAAGGTACTTAAATTAACATAGCTATTTATGTTTTGATGAACAAAATTATTCGATACATATCTATACTGGTAAAAGCTTGTAGGTACTCAGTATAATAGTTATACGTGTTAGCAGATTTATGTTGTTTATTTTCATACATATTTCGAGCTTTAAGTCGATGGATGTGTAGTATTACTATACACTAATACTTCTATGTAGCCATGAATGCAAATTTAGCATAATTATGTATTTTAAAAATTATTGGGTAAATTATTTAGTATATATAGAAGACAAATATCGATACCTGATTATTTTGTAGGACAAAAAGCCTAACATCTATCGAGGGGAATAATTAATGAAAAGAAAGCTTTAGTTGATTAATTGACTATTAAATTGGATGGCATAGCGTAATAATCCGAGTCTAAGTCAGAAATGCATGCAGGCCGAATTGATTGACTTTAGAGATAATTACTGAAATTATTGGCATAATAATAATACTTGTTAGTGGTAAACAATTGTTCACGCAATAGAGGTGGCCAAACCAACCTATACCATTCTTTATTTGCTCATTCCTTCATAAAACTTTTCTCTAGCCTCGTTTTCTTTGTGAGTGGATATGTCCATTATCTTCCCCTTTTATATTTATTTTTTAGAGACGGAGCTAGAATAACATAAAATATTATATATTTTTTGAATATTAACTTGAGATTGCTATATAAATTCATAAATTTCAAATCTTAAATCTGGTATATTGTGTATATGTTTTCAAACATAAATTGCATGTAAGCAACGTTTTTGATGAATTTTAAGCATTTATATATAGGTCAATTTCATGCTTTATGTGTCACTTCAAATCAATTTGTTCAAAAAAATATGTCGCGTATTAGCCACTTACAGCTCTTCAAATAATGGTCCTAAATCCTAATGCTGTAACACTGACTCTCCATCTCACAAAATGAAATAAATAAAGTAAAATAAACGATTCCAACCACCTTATCAGAGACTAAATCCACAAAGATAAATTGGAGAAAGATGTTTCTGCATTTTGGAAAGGGGGACCATATAATTTCTTTTTTTAACTTACGAAAATATATATCTGAATAAGTTATATATGTAACTAATCAGGATTAATCCGTTCATTCTCAACTTCTCTTATTGAATTCTTTCGTATTTTTTCTCATTAGAGACTTATTTAACCCTTTATATACAAAAATATAGTTGCTCCAAAAAAAGTTAGTAGGAAAATGTGAAAGAAGATGTAAATGGGATATCAAGGTTGCAGCCTAGGGTTTTAGCTGTATACTATAGTACAATAATGCATGATTTAAAACCCAGCTTTTTGCTTTTTCTTCTTCCTAACAATTCATGGGTCTATACCACCCAAAAATATCTTTAAAAATTAAAGAAAAAAGATTTAAACTTCTAACATTTTTTGCCATATTGTAGAATTATGTCCTTCCACCTTAATTACGTACCCTTGTATTCTTGAAAATGCCAGTAAATATGTGATGGTAATAATGGTTCTTACACAGGCACTGACGAACAAGATAACTACTAAAAATAATATATGTTAGAACCCATTAAGTTTAAATATACTCGCGTGTGATCTTACATGTAAATGAGTTATATATATTTTTAAGACAAGTCGGCCATGTTCTTCTATTACATTAAAAAGTACATTCGGGAATGTACATGTAAGAATCTGATAAATTAAAAATCATATAAGAGCTAAATGAGAAAATTTACTTATAAATCTGGTGATGAATTACACACAAATTCCAACCCACAAGAGCTGCTCTTTAATTACTTATAGACAACCTTAGAATCCTCTGATGTTGTTTGTGTAG